GAATATAGCCGGGGCATAGATATGGCAGAGCCATAGATATAACCTAACGGCTGAAAGGGGTTTCTGTGACCTCTTCACGGGTGATCCTCATCCGTATGATGGCATTTTGTGTCACCGGGTGTTTATCCCTGTGTGGTGTCCTGGTGGGGTACAACTACCAACAACCCAGCCTATGGTTTGCTAGTAAACTGAATTACATTCTTGCGAGATTATGTTTGTAAAAAAATCCTGTCAGCAACATCTATATTTTGAAAAGCACTGTAGTAGGTGTATATTGTCAGGAACGGGGGGTAACTGTGCCAGACAATTCTGAAAAAGTCAATCTTTTATGGAACTTCCGGTCTCTGTTACTTTCTGTGGAATGTGCCGGCGAAGAAATAATATGAAATTCGTCTGCGATTTGCAAAATTAATTTCCGGGAGAGATTTTATGCAGAAATGAGACAAATGACAGACCTCAGAGCGTTTGTGGACTGTGTTTTTACAGATAGAAGATAACACTATGATACTAGATCGTAGATCAGTTCTTGTAATTTTTAAAAGAGGCTAAAGTGACACGGATGTAGAAAGTTGCCGGCAAGACATTGACAATCCACTGAATTGAGTTTGCACACGGCTTGCTCAGTCCTGGTACATGCCGATGGCTTTCATTTCCCATGACACAAACTGATACCCGTCTATGATGGGGAAAACTGTGAGTCAACGCCAACCGTCTATGTTGAGTAAAACTGTGAGTCAACGCCAACCGTCTATGTTGGGTAAAACTGTGAGTCAACGTCAACCGTCTATGTTGAGTAAAACTGTGAGTCAACATCAACCGTCTTTGTTGGGTAAAACTGTGAGTCAACGTCAACCGTCTATGTTGGGTAAAACAGTGAGTCAACTTCAACCGTCTATGTTGAGTAAAACTGTGAGTCAACGTCAACCGTCTATGTTGAGTAAAACTGTGAGTCAACTGTCTATGTTGGGTAAAACTGTGAGTCAACGTCTACCGTCTATGTTGGGTAAAACTGTGAGTCAACGTCAACCGTCTATGTTGAGTAAAACTGTGAGTCAACGTCAACCGTCTTTGTTGGGTAAAACTGTGAGTCAGCGTCAACTGTCTATGTTGGGTAAAACTGTGAGTCAACTGTCTATGTTGGGTAAAACTGTGAGTCAACGTCAACCGTCTATGTTGGGTAAAACTGTGAGTCAACGTCAACCGTCTATGTTGGGTAAAACTGTGAGTCAACGTCAACCGTCTATGTTGAGTAAAACTGTGAGTCAACGTCAACCGTCTATGTTGGGTAAAACTGTGAGTCAACGTCAACCGTCTATGTTGAGTAAAACTGTGAGTCAACGCCAACCGTCTATGTTGGGTAAAACTGTGAGTCAACATCAACCGTCTTTGTTGGGTAAAACTGTGAGTCAACCGTCTATGTTGGGCAAAACTGTGAGTCAACCGTCTATGTTGGGCAAAACTGTGAGTCAACCGTCTATGTTGGGTAAAACTATGAGTCAACTGTCTATGTTGGGTAAAACTGAATGAACGTCAATTTCCCAAAACTTACTCTGTGCGATTTCTTCTGCTTCTTCTTTGAGACGCTTGTGTGTTGTGTAAACTCCGGCGGAATGTCCTGATTGTTTGTCCACGTCTTTAGTTTAGTTTTGCTCGAGAAGTTGAGTTTTGCGTGCACATCCATTTTACAGATCTGCATTCTGACTATTAGTTTCACCTCTCAGTGGGAGATGCACTCCGACTTGTAAAACAAGCACGCCTAATTAGTGCACCTCTACGATCTATTTCAGGAGGCAATCGGGCTATTCTTTTTTGACCCCCACATTGGGATCCCGAAACCCACACAGGGCACGGCTCGCTGGCTCAGTTGGTTAAACCTGACTGCGCGGCGATTGGGTGACGAACTCTTTGTGGTCCAGGTTCACGCCCAGGGGTAGGCAGAAAGCCACATTTCTGCCAGATTTATGGTATCTATCATAGAATCAAGGCCGATGGGTTTGCAATATCCTTAGTATTGAGCCAAACAATTCATGGTTTCTGGATAAAAGAAAAAAAAAACGGGGATAGTGCAAATTTAAACATAAGGCTTTCGGATCTGTGGTCTCGCGTCTAGCCATGCAAGATTAAAAGTGTGGAGATGTTTCATCCTCAAATGAACGTAACATTATGACAACAGAGATGAATTGCCTTAAATGAGCTGCAGGAGTTTCAAAGACAGACATAATACGAAATCCGAAATCACGAATGCTAGCCAGTCTTACAAGTTATCAAAGAACAAGAAATGGTTTGGATACGTAACAAGAATGCCCTGGTAATATCTGCCACGGCGAGCCATACAACGTTACAACGGGCATAGAGCGAGTGGAAGACCTCGGAAATATAGAGCGATAGCATTAAGAACAGCCTAACAGAAATCAACATCAGTCTTAATAGTGCTTTTGACAGAGCTCTTCAACGAATGTTACATCTCCCCCGACACTTCGCTGAGATACACGCTGTAAGA